CTGTATGACCCTGTCCTGCAGGCCGGCCGTGATCCCCAGCTCTTGCTCCACACTCAGCACCAGGTTGGGCCGCTCGGGCAGGGGGACCTCCTGCGTATATGGAGTGAGTCGGAGAGATTGTGTGCGTGTACGTGATGTGTGTGTGTGTGTTTGTGTGTTGGGATGGAAGCCAAAGCCAGCAGGTGCAGCGAGAAGGGTTGGGAGACGCGTCACATGTGCACGGTGATCAGCGAGGAGTCCAAGCATCAATGCACTGGATCCGCCATACGGAAAGGCATTCGAATCCAGGGCAGGACGCAGCTGCCGGGCAGGTAGCCTGCCTCTGGCCGGCCCTCTGCCCCCTGGGCACCTCGAGCGGGACGCCGTAGTGCGAGAAAAGGCAATTGAGGGCGGCGCAGGCGATGGCCGAAGACCCAGAAAGCCCGGCCTGCCTGGGGCGCGGCCAGGCAGGGGGGGCGCACAGGCGGGGGTGGGCGCGCTTGTTCATGGGAGCAGGGTGCACCACTCAGGAGCGGCGATGTCAGCCAGGTCTGACGTCACCGACACAACCCTGTTGGACACATGCGCCCCCTAAGCTGCCCCGTCGTGACGCAGACAGACGCATGCGCGCGCACACACACACACCAACACACACACACACACACACACACAAACACACACACACATAGACACACACACACAGGTTTTCTCGCCAGAACACAGGCATGCGCATGCGCATATAAACAGAAGCACACATACACAAAGACATATACGCACACACACAGCCTCAAAGCATGTCTTTGCGCTCTTGACCGCAGACTCACCTGGGGATGTTGGTGTCATAAGACAGCGAGAAATCGTCCCGCCCCCGCGGCAGCGCCCTGCCCCGCTCGTGGCAGTGCTGATGGAAGCGCTTGCAGGCGGCCTGGGCGGAGGGGCGGGGGCGGGGTGCGGGAGGAAACGAACGCGCACCGTCGGGTCGGGGTGCCATCCCTGCTGGGCTGGCCGCCCCGCGCGGCGCAGCGGGCCGCTGCAGGCCACAAGGGCGTGCATCCGGCTGCGCTCCGTTTCATAAAGTTTACCCTCTGCCCTCGTGAGAGCTGCCTGGTGCTCCGCATCCCGTGGGCGCCGCAACCGAGCGCGTCGCAGCGAATCTGTTGACGCTTGCCGCAGACCCAGACCCATGCTCGCATGTGGATGCTCACATGCACGTGCTCACACACACACACACACACACACACACACAAACACACACATGCGCGCGCGCACGCACGGAACACACATGCAAACACACACTTTCACACACTTTCACACACACACACACATATGTTGATACACATACACATACATCTTCACACACACACCACAACACTCACTCACTCACCATGAGCAGCCGCACGCCGCCATAGTAGCCCTCGGACTCCACCCTGGCCGCCAGGTCAGACAGTCCGCTGTACTGCGTCCTGTCGTGCTGCGGGTGGGGCAGGAACTCGATGCCGCTGCCCGGCGGCCGAGGCGCGAGCGTCACCTGTGAGCCAGCCGGCGGGGGGCGGGCGCCGCGCGGCAGGCGGGGCGCGTCGGCCGCCCGAGGGCTGGAGGGGACGTGGTTGGCCGCCGTCTTGTGCGGCAAAGCGCCCACGGGGCCTGGGATGGGTTCGTATGGTGCCACGGCCAGGCCGGGTGTCCCGCTGGCGGCTGTTTCGAGGCGGCAAGCCCCACAGGCGCGTCGCACGCCGCCGCATGGCTGCGCATGCAGCGGCCAGACTGCGCGTGCTTTGAGCGCCCTCACCTCCGCGTAAAAGTTTGCAAGGGATAGGGACAGGGTTTTGCCATAGAACCCATCGCTGGGATTGCCAAGCAGCCCAACGCGCGCGTGGACGCGCGACACGATCGCGGGCGCCACCTTGCTGCCGCTGCCGTTGGCATCTTGCGAGCCCTGCCGCCGCTGCTGCTGCGCCTCCGCCATTGAGGAGGCCTGGGCGATCCAACTGCGTGGTCGGTTGTGCAGGTCTGCTGGCACTGGTGGTGTGTGTGCGCACCCTGCTGCGGTTGCCTGTCGGTTTGTCACTTGCACAGTTGCCACTCGCACGTGAACAAAATCAGTTCTGCATTACGATTTCCACTGTTTTCACGTCGTATGCAGCTGCGTGGAGCGCAGCAGAAACAATTTCGAGCGGCAGATCATGCCCGTGCTTGTCAGTTGCCGCTTTGCTTCAGTTTGAGCTAAAGCAACGCTGAAGCACAATCGCTTGTAACCTGTCACTGATGGACGCCTGCACTGACGAATGCGCCCCTCGACATCATGCGAGTCAACCAAACTGCCCAGAAGGCCGAGCTCACAGGCCGCATCCGATCGACTGAGCACCCACTCAGCATGGGAAAGGTATTCAGCATGAGAAGGCGTGCACGCGTGCCCCTTAATCTCCATGCCCATTTGTACATACCTTCGGGTGTACAGGTCAACGGTGTCGGGCGTGCTTGCTCCCCTCTTCCACCCCCTGCTGCCTCGGGCCTGGATGCCTGTCATTTCGGTTCTTTTGAGACCTCAGTGGCTGACCAGCACCTGTGCAGTAAGTCAGTGCGCAGCAGCATAGTGTTGTGCTGCAACTGCTGCTTGTGGTGTCTCGGCGCCTTGCACTCAGGCTCGCCTTGGCATTCAATTGGTTTTTACTTTAGCTTCCACCGGCTGCTGCAACCCTCGCGAGATATACCGCGTGAACCGGCAACATGACAAAAGCAGGTTGTACCGCCGCTCCGTCTCGGCCTCAACGTTGACCGTTTTCAAGATTTTGGTGAGCGGCGTGATGATGTCATCCCCACCATCAAAGTACACCATGTCCTTGTACTCATTGTCCCACCAGGGATCGTCACTGGGCTCCGAGAACACCAGAACCTTGCTGACAATGAGGGGCAGGATACGGTGGACCTCCAAAATGGTCCTGCCCGTGAAAAAGTGCAGATTCAAGGCCACCTTCGACCGCCTGTATATCTTCTTCAACGGGTCGCCAAAGGTGTTGTAAATGAACGCCAAGTTCCACGGCGGGTTGGCCTTGTGAGCGTGGATGGCGGCAAGTTTAGGCACGCGCTTTCCCGTCCCGCCGCCTGCTCCGACGAACATGACGTCCACGTCTCGGGGGACTTGGGGGAAGGGGTTCTCCAAGTTCGGGGTGTAACCCCAAGGGATGAACACCGTGTGCTTGATGCCCTTGCCGTGGATCACCTTCAAGTTCTCTAGGGAGTAGTCCCATATCATAACAGCGTCTTGCAGCCGCTTGAAGAAAGACGCCGGCCACTCCTTGGTCGTTATGAGCTGCTCAAAATTGTAGGCGACGTAGTTGGGAGGCAGCGTTTTCATCTCGTGGGTGATGAAGATGATGTACAGGTCCTTGGCGGAAAAACTCGACGAGAAACGCACTCTGTTGACTAACTGGTGGGGGATGCCGAGCTCGGTGAACGAGAGATGGAGGCCTTCAGCGACAAACGAAAAGTACCGGCTGTTGTTGAGGATCAGGATATTGTACCTGTCGCGTGCGCAGCGGGGTCATGTCAAGCTCTCAGGGCTTAGATACTGACAGCAGAGTAAAGAGGTGCACCGACACGACAGCATCACCATCGTTATGTCGATTATCGCTAGAGGCAGCAGCAACTACCAACAGCAGCAGCCAACAGCAGCAACCAGCAGCAGCAGCCAACAGCAGCAGCCAGCAGCAGCAGCAGCCAGCAGCAGCAGCAGCCAGCAGCAGCAGCCAGCAGCAGCAGCAGCAGCAGCAGCAGCAGCAGCGGCAGCGGCGGCAGCAGCGGCAGCAGCGGCAGCACCCAATTGACGAAGTGGTGACAGCTCACCCTGACAGGATGTGTGCAGCAGTCCCTGGCTTGGGATTCCAGATAGGAGGCGTCACATCACCCCTTGGGCATGTCACGCGCACCAGGAAGATGCATGCGCACACGAAGCAGATCATAGCATAGTACTGCTGCTGTATTGACATGCGCAGAGGCCGCCATGTCTGCCTGTCTGTATTGGCAAAGGACCTGACCATTCCACCTCCAGCACTGCACCGCCTCCTGTCGTCCTTATGGATGCAGGTACCGTATGCCAAGCTCCAGATGGAACGGTGTAGATCGTGGACCCACAGCGGCCTCACTTTTTACTCCGGCGAAAAGGTGAGTCGATGAATCTGCTATTACTTGTGCACATGTAGGGGTCATGCAGGCTGATCAACGAGGCGGAGCTGCCGTTCCGTTGTTCTGGTACTCGTTGGGCCAGTCTACTGCAGATCTGGTCTACTGTGCCGTGGTGTCCGTCACAACTGTGACCGCTTTTGTGCTCCATCGATGGTCTTGTGCGCCTGCGTGTGAAGCGTTTCGGAAAATCAGACGCCTTCGGCACACCGTAGTCTGCCCCTAGCGGTAAATGGGTGGCATCATATTACGGCTTGAGCTAGAACGCACTTCGCGGCAACGATAGTCGCCGCTGCTGCTCTGTCTACACCCCCTTTATACAGGAGCCTCAGGGGCTCATGCGCAGCAAAGGTGACTGGTGGCGCGTTGTCAACGCTGCCTCTTGCAAAGCAGTGCCATGAGGACACACTGCAGCTTCATCCGCGTGCGCAGCGAGGCGCCCCATTGGAGGCCCAACGCACAACCTGTGCCACACGCAGCGTAATCACCCCGCCGCACTGGCACCTTGGCTGGTTGGGGCGTCTATGATAGTAGCACCATGGTGCCATATGCAATTTGCAATGCATCCCCTTAAGAAGGGTGGAACCTTGGGGTTTGGCTGCTGGCTGCGTTCTGCGACTTGCCGGGCGCGCGCGGGGGCATGGGCGCGGGGCGCTCGGGGCGTCCGGAGGAGCCGTGAGGGCGGGGGGAGGGCGATAGACTTGAGCTGGGATCTGCAGGGCAGCTCCTCTACTGCACTCAGCGGCTTAAGCATCTGCTTTAGTGGGCACAGCACGGCCACTGTGTCAGCTGCCAGGTTGCACCACCAAGTAGGAAGACGGAAGAGTGAAGGCACAGATCTTTGGTGAACGAGGAGCGGACCAAGGATCAGGCTGCACCTTGCACGTCAAGGGAGGCACGGGCAGGGGGTCCGAATGCACGTCACCACCTCACCAGGGTGAAGTTTTGTTTTGGGTGCCAGACCGGAACTGCACTAGTAAAGCAGTCACACATGTGTAAGTGCTCACCCGCAGGAACCAAGCAAGTGGCGCCATCACATGCCATACAAGTGTCCCTTGAGGAAAACACTGGCAACACAGAACCCTGCTCCCGTTTGCATGTTGCAAGAGTACTATGTAGCAGTGCTGATTCCCACAGATGCTCTCAAGAAGAGGGCTTGCCACAAAGTGTGCACAGCTGCATGGAAGGTGAGATGCATATATCTAATAAGCAGGGAGGAACAAACTGGGTCCTACAACTTGACCGGGCTGGTGTGGGGCTCCGGCCAATCATGAATGTGGTCACCCTTTGCAGTAAGTTCCCGACTCACTGCCCTCCTTCCTCGTCCGTTGCAGGTGAGTTCTCTTGTAGCTAGGGCAAGGCTGCCCCCTCTTGCGCTGCATCCTTGGTTTTTGCCTCCTGCCTACCCGTGTTGAGCGAAACAATTTCCCTTGCTGGTTTGCTTGTGTGGTGCGTTGGCTGTCCACTCCAAAAGAGCAGTCATATTCCGCCACAAGTTGCTGCATCCTGTGTGTTATGTTTGCAAATGACGCTTGACCCACACTGAATCGAAGGGGCGTCCGGGATGCTGTACCGCCCGTGTTGCTCTTACCATGTGATTGCTGCAGGGGCAAGCATGCCATAGCCATCTGCTGCTGTCGCGCTCCTGACAAACTGAATTGAATGTGTGCTTAGCGCAGGCACGTTCAGAAGCAACCTTGCGCTCTTTGTGTGCGCAAGGTTGTGCTGCACGCCTGCAGGCCTGTTCATGATCAGAGCTGGTAACACATCGTATCTGCCTGCAATAGCTGCAGGGCAGCCAAGGAGTGCGCTTCAGGAGATCTGAGGTGCTTCTAACACAAGATCACTGTTGGTCGATTGCCGGCGAACTCAGCACTTTTACGCAGCTTTGGTTGCTTCGACTAGTTGTTTTTGTGCAAATCGAGTTGCAGCATACATTTGCGCAAAAGCAGCTGCTGGCTACGGATGTACAGTATCGCAACACTGCTATGGGCACACGGCGGTCATTTGTTGACAGCACCGGGTGGTTACTGAACCAGCTTTCAAATGTAAGAAATTATGACCAGTTCCCGGGTTTTTTGGAACGACTTTGGGGGCGTCAGAAAAGCCCTCCACTTCTGGTGGCGAGCGTCGAGTCCTATCCGGTGTGTTGGTGTATCATAAATATATTGTTTAAGAAGTTGATCGGTTGCTCCGCTTCGCCAACAGTTCGGAATTCAGCATCCCGCCACCTCCAAACACAACTCGGTCTGAATATGCACAGGATGAAGTATGGCAGACCCCCCAACTTGGTCGTGTCGACTATCATCATTTTGGCGCTGATAATCCTGGCAGAGCTGGCGCTCAAGCGCGGAGGCACCCGCGCAACGACAACCACCAGCTGCGCGCACATCAACGGGTCTCCACTGGCCCCTGGGGCTGCTGCTGGCGCGAATGCGACAGACCCACCCATATCTGTGTTTGTCGGTATCCTTTCAGCTTCTAAGAACTACGAGCTGCGGCAGGCTGTCCGCGAGACATGGGGATCAGATGAGCGATGGAGTCATGTCATGTTTTTCACTTTGCGGCCCAAGTCTGAGGAGGCGTTCAGCAGGCTCCGGAAAGAGATTGTGCAGCATGGAGATATCATTGTGGTGTCCGAGGTCTATGAAGACTACCTCAATGCGACGTACTCCACGCTGGCGATCCTGCGGGCTGCCGCGACAGTGCCCCACGTCACCCACCTCCTGAAAACGGACGACGACTGCTACGTGCGGGCTGGCAACCTGATCCCGTTGCTGCGGACCCTGCCTCGGACTTGGATGTACGGAGGCAACCGGTATGGCGACACTGACAAGGTCTTCAGAGACCCCAAGCACAAACGCCACGTCCCCTACAGCAACTGGAAGTCAGACGCTATCTTGCCGTTCTACTTCTGGGGTATGGGCGCGGTTCTTACCATAGACTTGGTGAGACACATTGTATCTGGCGTCCCTCACATTATGATGGAACCAAACAACTTGTTGATTATTGAGGACGTCGCAACTGGGGTCTGGTTGGATTATATCGCAAAGGAGCAGGGGCGGCCAATATACTTGGCACGCAATCTCCCATTCAACGACACACACTGCAAGCCAGGTGATTCCATCACACACCTGGGAATGACGACGTTTGTCAACACGCCGACTAAGTTGGTGAAAACCGACAAAGCTGTGTCAGCGATGAGATGTGTGTTCAAGCATGGTGGATCGTGTTGCGACGACAATTCCTTAGCACCATTGTAACAAGATAATCTGCTGTGTGTGTGAGCAAATATGTTGAGTTATAGGACTCTGCTGCAGCATTGGATTATGGGCTATTAGTAATGTGCAATTGCAAGTCCAGCGGCCGTTACCAAAACCACGAGGGAGGGAGAGCCCGCGCGGACGATTGCGACTGCTGTAAGTCACTCAGCACCCCGGGTAAAGGAGAGGGGTGCTTGTGATCACTCGCACACAGCACCAGAGTGAGGGAAGGGTAGGCTGATAGACCCGTGGCGCGGTAAAGTCAGGCCGCTCTTCAAAGCAAGCACAGCTACCAAATTGGCTGATGTAGCTGTTTCCAGGGGGCACGTGCTGGCCCTAGCATCGACACCCCGCCCCCTCCCATTCCACCTGTATTTTCCAGCCGGGCAGGCCGAGCAGCTGCATAGAAAGGGCAATCAAGCAATTGATTTGCAGACCCAGCCTGCCCCTACATCAAACCTTGACGCCCGCAACCAGCAACACGTCTGGCTGGTCCCAAACCTCACCTGTGTGAAACGACTGTACATCCTTTGCGGGCTGCCGCCTACCGTGCATGTAACTAAAATTTCACAGTAACGAGGGGTCGGGTGGAACGCATTAGGGTGGGGATACCCAATTGCTTTGAGCGCACATGCTTGCCACGCACATTTGCGGTGTGTGGTGTCTATGGCCGCCATAGTCGGCGGCGGATAGCCACTCCAGGCGCCATGGGGTCCTTATATCCTGGTCACTGCATGCATGTTACGATGTAATGTAGAGTTTCCTGAGGATTCTGGCGTATGGCACCCTCAGATCATCAGATCAACGAAAGCATGTCTCAAGTGTCACAGGGGGCCAACGGCGCTGCAACGCGCAGCATCTTCACAACGAATGACCTCGAATGTGACAAAACACACATGCGATCAGCATACGG